GCGAAACCACGCTCGGCTCCTCATATACTACACTCGGCCTCTCAAGGATTGACCGGAAAAGTTCGGGAGTGAGCTAGGGCGAGACTGACTAAACAATTTCATTCTGTCCTCTGTATCTCTTACACTCGGGCTACATTAAACGCGAGGAAAGATTAAAAACAAACCGCTCACTTCCCTCAACTAAAATTTCCAAATCTGCGAAATCTCGCAGTGAACTTCATTTCGCTACAGCACGTATATATCTGCGAACATGTATCTTCAAGATGAAAACCTTAAAGTCACAAGTGGGTTTTGAGTATGACGTCAAAACTTCCATAATGTTTTACGACTTTCAGTTTAGTATTATTCTGAATGTGCGCATCTTGGCGAGCAATATTGAGCACCGCAAATCTTACTAAGAAAGGGCTCGAGAAATCTAACGTTACGTGTGCCTGTATCAAAGAAAATAGTTGCACATCACTATGAGTGGATGACAGTGTTTCCTCCTTTATTTTGCTCAGCTGACCACCCCCCCCCCCCCCCCCCCCCCGTCTCTTCCCGTTTCTCTGTACGTTCCGCTCCATCCCCGTTTTGTGGCGACTTGAGAAAACATTCAACGCGCTTAGCGCACGAACCAGACTAAAGCCTGTGTTGCTAGCCAAGTCACAGATCATCTGTATTATTTCGACAATTTTGTTTTTGTTTTATGTAGAGTTATGCAAAGAGCTAACAACTCGACCCTTGAGTTCTCTCGTCCAATGTCTCATTTCATTTTGTGTGTTAAACTGTTGTAAGACCGTTAAGCACAGGGTCTATTTAATGATTCATTCCTATGCTTTTCGTGCAAACCATTGGTTTGAGTTCTCCACCTTTTGCGAGTTAAGGTAGAGCCCCTGAAACAAAAAGTGACCGAACTCTACGTGGAGTTTGCAGTAGTGGCCATTTAGATTTTTTCGCATGTACTTTATTGGAGGCGGTTCAGCAGGAAGTTTAATATTAGTAAAATTGAATGTTCACGTTTTTTCAACCCAGTGCTACAGTCATCGTTTAAACTCTCAAGTGAAGCGCCAAAAACATGAGCAATGATTATTGCAAAAACAACTGCGGTGAAAAAACCTCGAGCAGTAGCTGGCAAGCATGACGTGTCGTAAGCATTGACGTAAATGCAGTGACCCGTATGACCTTGTTGCGTGCATTGTCTCTTTCTTGGTTTGTCTTATTTGATCTTGAAAGGAATGTTCTCAATATACCAAAACACTTTGTCCGAGCAAAATGCGCTGTTCTTCAGTAGAAGCGCAGCACCTGTTTTCGCATCTGCAATGTAAACTCTTTGTAATTTACCTCGCTGATTGTTCGCTCGCTCGCATAAGATACTAAAGATATTGCACGTTGTTTGCTGCAAAACTTTCTCGCTTCCATTGTGTTCTCGTTACATAGACTCTTATTGTACTTCCAAAAGAAACAATTTTAAAATAACAAAAATCAACTTTTGTCAACTGTTATTTTGTTTGCATAGAAGGGACGGGCTCTAAAGCTGCGTTCCGCAAATCTCTCGCAGGTGTTCTGCCAGCGGCTCCCACAGTTCAAGCGGTGCATATCAATGCAAGACGCCGGATATTTTTAAGCTGAGCAACTTCCTCATTGTTTTTCTACTCTGCCAAGTGACCACATGTGTGCTTGACAGCCATGTTTATTGCGGGGGCTTTGTTAACCGCGCTGCCGCAACCGGCAGCGCGGGGGCCAACTCAAACACCCACAATAGCGTAATGTAACATCCCCTTTATATTGGCATTGTGGGATTTTACGTTTCTTAAGGTACATAGCCCTTCAGGTAGTTTGGTACTCGGCTTTCACGAACTCGTCGAATATTTAGGCTGCTTAGACCCTTTGCTATTGCCTTCGCAGGACATTTTGCCGACACAGCTGTCTCCTGCTGGACCTTCGTCTTAGTAATGGCTTTCGGCCTGTTCGTTGTCCACCTCGGTTTCTTCGTAACCACTCCATTTTAGAATTGCACTTCCGCGTGAAGGCTGTATTTCGCCGAAGCACATTTCAATTCCTTTTAACATCACACGACCTCTTCTTTGCCCTCTGCACGACTACGTTTTGTCGCATGTGCATTTTCCTGTAGGTTGGACTCGCACATAGTCTCCTTGGTGTAGTGGAGGTAGAACTTTCTCCTTTTCATTGTAGTTGTTTACCATTTTCTTCCTCAATACTTGTCTTTGACGCTTGTAGTATTTGTAGGCGTAGCCGCATGGTCGTGGTAGGGAGAATGCTTCGGGTTCTTTTTCCGATATCAGTGGCTGCACAGGGCTGACATGGAGTTCTTGTGTAGTGCTGTGTACGGGTCACTTCCATCCATCATTGCTTGCTGTAGTATCTTCGCTGTTTTCTTCATTGTACTTTCAGCCTTGCAGTTGGACTGCGTATGGTCTGGGCTTGATGTCACGTGTTCGAAACCCCATTCTCTTGTAAACTTCACAACCTCGTCACTCGAAAATAACGGACCGTTGTCGCTGACATCAGCTGATGGACGGCCATGTCTTGCTAAGTTCGCTTTGATTTTCCGAATGAGCGCGGCTGATGTAGTCAATCGTAGTTGGTTAGCTTGAAAGAATCCGCTGTTGTGGTCCACGATCACAAGAAATGTTTTTCCTTTGCATTCCATAAGGTCTGCACACACTTTCTCCCATGGTTGGCTTGTCATTGAGTGTGCCTTCATAGTTTCCTTTTGATGTCTGTGAGAGTGAGTTTGGCATACCTCCCCTACAGTGTGTATTCTCTCATTTCCGAGTTCATCTACGGTCTGAATACAGACTCTCGTGCTCTTCGAAGTGTGCTTTTCATGTCCATCTGCCAGCATGAAGTTTCTTCTTGATCTGGTCGCGCAGTGCAGCGGGAACAGCAAGTCGCTGTCCTTTGTAGATGATGAAGGCAGGACGGGTTCCTCTCTTGCGAGTGAGTACTTCAAGGATTTTGGGGAAGCCTTCATTTAATTTTGCTATGACCCTAGCGTCTTTCGTCTCTTCGCGTGACGCCGCCATAACTTTAGTTCACAGGAGGCAGACGGCCCTGCATGCGAGGGCTCGTTCCGTCTCGTGCTCCACATTGTCAGAGCTCCAGCGGGGTTGTCGCACCTTCCGATAGCGTAGTCAAACTGGCTGGAAAAATTAGTTCATTCTTTCCGTTCTTTTTTTTTTTTTGTGCGAGGGGGGGGGGGGGGGGGGGTTACTTTTCGTACTTTAGCACGTAGGCCAAAGTCATACTTTGCCCAACTACAGATTATTATCAACTTCGGATGGCACGAACACCCCTGCTTTCTCGCTGTTTGATGCGAGAAAAGCGGGCATGAGCGAACCCGATCGCCGTCCGCACGCTTCGGAGACCTCTGGTGACGTCACGTTTGGGATGGCGGGAATAACTGGGGAAAAACTCGGAAGAAGGATGTATTGGCGTTGGCAACAAACAAAATGTCAGTTTTCTTTTTTTTTTTTTAATTTACTATAGATTTAAACTAAAGGAGCGGTGTAGCATTTCGGAATCAGGAAGCCATCCGCATTCAGATGATACCTCTGGATTAAGTAGCTCAAAAACTCGGCCGAGTGTAGTACAACACTTCCCGCTCTCAATTTAGGCTTAGTACGTCCTCTTCCGTACCTCCCTCTCTGTTCACTGCCTTGGACATATCACCACGCACGTCGCCCAGTGAGCGCGTGCGTGGCCGAATGGTTACCCTGCTTGGCTTTCGCTCGGAGGCCCCAGGTTGCATTCGTGAAAATGCTCGCTTCTTTCATTTATTCTTTCAATTTAGCGATATCCTAAGTTCCCGAACCTTGTCTTCTGATCGAGGTACGAATTCTCTACGCACCGAACGCTCTACGCCAAATGTTCCAGAAACCCACGCGTGTACAAAAGGTGCACCGCGTGGTGATCCAGGATTAGTCTCGCTCTGGCGCTCGATCGTGCTGCTCTGCCGAGCTTCGACGCCTTCGACGATACCTCTTTGCATTTTTGTTGTCGGGAAAGTTCCCCAGATTAAACGTTAAGTTTGGGTTCATTCGTCACCTTACCATAGGGTGTGTTCAGATAAGATCGAACACGCGAGTCCGGTTCGCATTTTTGTTTTTCTTCATATTTTTATATGTTACTCCCCAATATGTGGAAGGAACTAAATCACAAATGTTTAAAAAAAAATATATATATATATATATCTAAAGAAAAAAAAAACATGACTGCCCCAAGACGGAAACGCCGTTTTCGGGCTTTGTCTGTTCTGTCAAGTTTGACTTCATGTAATAGGCAAACTAAATATACCAAAAAACTGAATATTTTTCAGAAAGCAGGGGATTATAGTTGATACATTTTTGAACGTTTACAGTATTCTCAAAATTATATATCGCGCGTGCCATATTCACAAATGTGGCTGCTTTAAACGTTTTGACCCCATTTTTGTGACTCGTTATGTCGTTATATGTTAAGGGTATTAAACTGAAACTTTTTTTATATGTCCTTCCTAAACTTGTCCTTTACCAAAAAATAAATTGCTGCTCTAGTGTATGATGCAAAATATATACAGCGCTTCAAACATATTCGAAATTGAAAAGTTCCGCAACTTCAACGTGCAATTAAAAAAAAAAAAAAAACATCTTCGATCTTTTTAAAATTTGGAGGAATCACTCTCCTCTACATCCTCATTAAGTTCCGTTAAAAACATGTTGCATCATTTTGTTTCCGTCAAAAGTACAGCGCTTTGAAATGTACCTCCACACGTGGACATGTCCGCCCAAGGTCACGGCCGCAGTGTGGCCGCCTTCCATTTTTTTGTTTAGAACTTCTCATAATGTCCTGTTTTTTTACTTGTGCACGAGTTCGAATCATACATGTGGACCGCTCTAAATGCATGTATAAAGTACACGTAGCTCAGGACAGCAGTTCGAAGCATCGAAGATGCGAACTAAGACGAGCCCGCCCTTCGCGCTTAATTGTTGCATATGCCGCTGCACGGTCGCGCGAACTGAAACACAACCATCCGCACGAGACACTAGTGTCGATAGAAAGGAAGAACATATATAACCTGCCGCGTATTACGTCCGTGTTCGCCTTGTATAGCGAACACGACCTATTGAGCCCAAACAACGTTGGATGCAACCGGAGACGCCGGGTCACGCGACCACTCGGTCGCGCGAACGTAAATGCCTAGAACGAAACGATATACAACACCTGGGTTCGCGAAGTAAACCTAAGAACTGAACATAACACCTCGGTGGGATTGAGGATCAGCGCTTTTACTACATCTTTATGTGACTGTTTTAATAAATCGCTGACACCTTGGCTTGTCCACTCGTTCCGGCTGTCTCTTGATGCGTCGTCTGTCATTGTTGTAAAATAAATAAAAATGCATAGACACTCAACATGTTCAAGCAGCGGTTATGAAATAGTGATCGTCGTTGCGCTTTCCGCGGTCCGGAAAACAGTTAGTTCCGAGTTCTGCCCCGTTCTGCGACTTCGCCATACGTGCCACTTCTGAATTCCACGGACGGCTCGCACATTGCTCCACTCTTCCTTCTTCCGGTTCCGGAACTCTACAAGTTCAGTTTCATCCAAGTAGAGCAGCTTGACCCCTTTGAGATGCTGAGACAGTATTCTTGACATGTCTTGTCCATTTTGGATTGCCATGCTTGCCGGCTGTCGCAGGTTGTGTAGAGTAGCCTGATGCTTCACAAGCCCTCCAACGCCATTGCATGCATTTTTGCCGTGCCCAGTGGCGGAAAATAGCCATTTGGCTGCAGGGTACTCTAATTTTCTAAACTCGTGTAGCTGATACTTGTTCTTGAACTGGCTCGCTGCTCCATCGCTTACAAAAGTCACTTGCGAGTGCACGGGAGCGTTGTCATCAAGCCAGTCTGTTATCTTTCCGATTGCGCAGCAGGCGTGGGCGGAGTCGTGGCACACATCGTCGCTGATGACAGCGAAGCTACGCGTGGATTTTCTTGTTGTAGCAACGCATGTAAAAACCGAAACTTGCTTCTTATGCCAGTGGTAGGCTTGGACCTCATCGGGAAGAACAACGGTCCAATTCTCCGCAAAATCAAAATGCAGCACGAGGCTTCCCTTTTCTTCGCACAGTTTTTCTGTGTATATGGCCTTTCCTTGAATTGACCTGATCTGATTATGAGGAATCCATCTTCCTACCAGTGTCTGAAGTTCGTTCATGAATGTCATTGAATCCAAAGATTTTTTTATCAGGTTGCCGGACTCCCAGGCAGCTACCAAAATTTCTGCTTCTTCTGGGATTCCAAGCCGCTCGAGCGTAAAATGGCTGTCCTTGGGGCATCGTCCACAATCGCCAAGCCGGCATTCATTGGTTGGCGGGGAGCACATGTACAATAATTCCAAGTCCAATATGTTGACGTCCCTACCGCTTACGCTTCCAAGAGCCGCAACGCAAAGCTTAAAATTTGCGCAATATATGCATACACAAACTTCTCTCTGGGGGGCACACTTGACCCACCGGGGTCGCAAGGAATGAAACTTTGTGAGGCCAATCTTGGTTTCGGGGTGTGCATTTTTAAACACACGAAATGACTCGCGGATTGACCTCGTCATAAAGCGCTTGGAGATGTACTGTTTTTTGTCATTTAGTAAGACACAAATGACATCTCTCTGGTTTGGGCTTTGTCTTGAGCAGCCCAGTTCGTCCTTAGTAAAGTACTCAAGCGCCACCGACAATTCCTCTTCGCTCACCTTGCATCTCGAGTAGTGTTCCGGTGTCGACCACACACCGTAGTCATCTCTCAGTTTGCGAGATTTGTTGATGAGGTACCTCGTTGCCTCCGGCACGGCACGTTCGATCTCTTTCCTCGTCAGGGATGGGGGAAGGAGCGTCAGTAGACGGCAGCGTTCCTGGTGGGAAGGACACGCAGCGTATGCCAGGCGAAAGTTGGTCATCCACTCGCTGCACGTGTTGCACTTATCTTGGGACGGTCCTGAAACGTCTGATGTCCCGTAGGCTGTTTGAATCCCCGTACGAACATCGGAAACCACGGCCTCTTCTATTTCCGCTTGATTCCTCTTCCCATAGGACTCTCTGCAGCGGCTTGCTACTTGACCTGGTGGCTTGAGCGGTGAAACTTTTGTGGGCAGTACGTAGCGATTCAGCTTGTCAACGGCCTCACTTTCTGGGATAAATGCATCCCCACCACTGTCGGAGCTCTCTGATGCACTTTGTATTTCAGCTTTGAAGTACAGGAAACAATGCTGGCACAGGTAATCTGTTTCTTTCACTTCACCGGATGTCTCCTGGGGCAAAATCTTCTTCAAGGAGTTAACACCGATATCTCGCACGCTGCGAAAATTTCTCTGCATTGTGACTTTCTTTTTGTGTTTGCTGAGATAGTCAGCACAAAAAACTCTGCTGGCGCTGTAAGTCCCTGCCATAGCTGAGGACTCCGCTCTGACAAGGCGTGTATTAGCAAAGCATATGCCACGCAGATACTGGACTCGCTCCCTTGTGCCCGACGCCGAAAAAAAGAAAGAGAGAGAGAATGGTTCATACTTTATTGGTATTGAAGTCACGAGGTGTGAAATGAGTGCGTGCGTGCGCAGTCCGACCAAGACACGCAAGCGTAAACACGTGAAGTGTAGAGCGGCGCACGTTTACTTTGACTTGCTATTTGATGCCGCGCGACAGATGGTGATAAAACCCGAGACTCAGGAACACACAAAGGGACGAACAGAACACAACGTCTCAAACACAGCTGAAGGTTTATTTGTCAGACACTCGTTTAAAAAAGGCGAGCCCCCACGGTGCCCCAACCGACATCCAGAGTCCCGAAGGTCAAGCCGCTTCCTCCCGCCCAGTACACGTCAGCAGCACTCCTCGCACAAACATACATGCACACACGCTAGGCGCCACAGCGTCCATGAGAATGTCCACGCTGTTGACTTGTCACCCGGCACCGCCACCACTGCTAATCCCCCACTTCCTCGCAACGCTTCCTTGCCCCCCCGCCGTCGAATCGTGCACAAGCACACCACTCAGATATACCCCCTTCCCGTCCCCACCCCCCTCCTTTTACAGTTGCCGACGTAAACACAAACCTCGAAAACACATGTGGAAGCCCGCCCGCTGAGCCAAAAATGCGCCACCAAGTAATCTCAAAGCCTTAAAGTTTGTGCCGCTATCCGTCCGTCCCCCCTTCAATGTACATACTTCCTCAAGACGAGCGTGTTGGTACATACTGTTACCAACACGCTCGTCTTGTACTTACTTATCCCCGACCTTGCCAAAAACCTTCCTCCCCCCCCCCCCCCCCCCCCTTCCCTTTATTTATTTATGTCTCCTTCCGTTCGAGTTCGTTTTTGGCTATAGTTTTGTTCTTTCGCAGTTAAAGCGGTTATGACACGAAAATTAAACGGATAGATTATTCTTGAAATGGAATGCTCATAGGCTACTTAGTATATACACCAAGTTACGCAATTTTTAGAGCTCTGATAATTGCAATATTCAATTTACGAATTTTTATAATTTTCATCTGGCGACCAGGCAACACTGCTCAACTTAGTCACACCATGGTGTCCATAAACCACGTGACCATGAACACTCTCTCATTCTAGGCGCCCCCATGATCGCCCAAGCTTTTCTCGTCGCGGTACGAACAAAACCGCTCAAACAGCTCGGTAAACGGAAAGCTATTCTCGCTCTCGCCCCCCGGCCGGTTGACCTTCCAGCCTGCCTGCGCCTGCGAGACATTCCCGGACGACGGTGACCACGGCGAACTCGTCGTCGCTGGAACTCGTCGCCAGCGGGTCGCAGTCAGAATGAACAGCTTCCAACATCTCTTGATAGCAATCACTCTCATCGCTGCTGCGATCAATGTCGAACACTTCGACAAGGCGATCGATGCCGTAGACGTAATCGTCACAGACCGGGTGCTGGAAACGTGGAAGGTAAACGAGGAAGCTGAGGCTCGATACGCCAAGAGAGCCAAGTCTGTGAGTGCGTGCAAGGAGACACCGCGCTGGAGGCTGGCTACGTCATCAGCCTCCAGGTCCGCCCGGATCTGCCCCTCCGAGGGGCCCGCATATAAATCGATTTATCCACGAAACTATCGCGCCTTTTTCAAAACAAATTTAGCAGGATTATAGGAACATACAATGGGTCCTAGCAGTATAGTTATGTAATATTTTATTTTTGGCGTGTTATAACCCCTTTAAGGTTCGCCATAATGAAGTCTATATTATATTCCTACTCCTCCTTTTTGTGTGTTTAAGGTTGGGAGCTTCTTAGTTATGTGACGTGCCGGTTAATTTGGGATAGTGCGAGGATGTATCAATATAAATGTTTAGGTTACAATTGTTTGGTGTTACGAAAGCGTCTGTTATGGCCTGCGATCGCGCCCAGTCTGTTGCTTCCAGGCGTCCCGTGGCTCGCCGTCCGGCTGTTCCCTCCCGGCGTCTCCGGTTGCATCCGCCGTTGTTTGGGCTCAAAAGGTCGTGTTCGCTATACACGGCGAACGCGCACGTAATACACGGCCGGTTTTCTATGTGCTTTCTTTCTATCGACCCTAGAGTCTCGTGCGGGTGGTTGTGTTTCAGTTCGCGCGACCGTGCAGCGGCATATGCAACAATTAAGCACGAAGGGCGGGCTCGTCTTAGTTCGCATCTTCGATGCTTCGGGCTGCTGTCCTGAGCTACGTGTACTTTATACATGCATTTAGAGCGGTCCACATGTATGATTCGAACTCGTGCACAAGTAAAAAAACAGGACCTTATGAGAAGTTCTAAACAAAAAAATGGAAGGCGGCCACACTGCGGCCGTGACCTTGGGCAAACATGTCCACGTGGGGAGGTACATTTCAAAGCGCTGTACTTTTGACGGAAACAAAATGATGCAACATGTTTTTAACGGAACTTAATGAGGATGTAGAGGAGAGTGATTCCTCCAAATTTTAAAAAGATCGAAGATGGCTTTTTTTTTTAATTGCACGTTGAAGTTGCGGAACTTTTCAATTTCGAATATGTTTGAAGCGCTGTATATATTTTGCATCACACACTAGAGCAGCAATTTATTTTTTGGTAAAGGACAAGTTTAGGAAGGACATATAAAAAAAGTTTCAGTTTAATATCCTTAACATATAACGACATAACGAGTCACAAAAATGGGGTCAAAACGTTAAAGCAGCCACATCTGTGAATTTGGCACGCGCGATATATAATTTTGAGAATACTGTAAACGTTAAAAAATGTAGTAACTATAATCCCCTGCTTTCTGAAAAATATTCAGTTTTTTGGTATATTTAGTTTGCCTATTACATGAAGTCAAACTTGACAGAACAGACAAAGCCCGAAAACGGCGTTTCCGTCTTGGGGCAGTCATGTTTTTTTTTTCTTTAGATATATTTGTTTTTTTTTTTTTAAACATTTGTGATTTCGTTCCTTCCACATATTGGGGAGTAACATATAAAAATATGAAGAAAAACAAAAATGCGAACCGGACTCGCGTGTTCGATCTTATCTGAACACACCCTGCTATCTTAAATCTTGGCTTGTGATTGCGCCTTTGTAGTAGATCATATTATTCGTTTTCTGGAGAGACGCAAACGACGGGCATAACAAATCGCTTGAATATTCCGCATATCTCACAAAAGCATTTACCCTGTCACCTTGCGAAAAGCGCGAAACACGGAGTCAGCACCGTCCTAAGCTTCCCGTTTTTTATCTGCTTTAGAGCAGTTTGTACCTGCTAGTAGATATGCCTACTGAAACTGAAACAGGGCAGTGCCAGAGAGAGAGACAAAGTTGAGAAAGCTTGCTCGCTCTCTAATTTCTCAACTCTCAAGTGATTGTACCATAATAAATGCACCAACGCGTCTTTCAAAATAAAGAAAGAGCACTACGTTCACAACATAAAAAATGGTCTCAGTACATGCATCTGTGGGCAGGTAGGAAACCTTGCCCTTATTTATTCACGCCGCATGATTGCCGCAACAAACTCGTTGCAGGACCGAATCATACTCGAGCGGTGTGCGTCGCTATGCAAACGCAGTCCAACACGAAGCATAAAAAACGGAAGATTTAAGACAACAATCCGGAGTCCATTATTCGATTAAAACAACGTAATTTTGTTGAAAACGCCCGCTGCTTCTTACTCACGGTATGTGTCGGGATACTTCCACAGTTTGAAACGGAACGAGGGAAGATTTACTTTTAAAAACGCTCGCTGCGTCCTCCCGGACCAGCTGGACCGGATCAGCTGACGACGACGGGACTGTACCCGTTGAACCTCCACCACGCAACAAACAATTTGCGCTCCGTGTTAAAAGCGTGGTTCAAACAGACCCGGAATACAAAGCACCGCACCACACACGACGAATGTTTCAGCTCTTTTTTGCATCG